GTCCATAATTCATATGTAACTGATTTTTGTAGGAGTCAGTGTTATTTCTTCCCATATGTATTTTCATTTGACCCAGACCCTTTATTACAAGGACTATTCTTTCCCCATTTAGGTACATCCATCACCTTTGTCACAAATCCAGAATACAATATGTATGTAGGTCTACTTCCAGACTATTGTGTTCCACTCAGCTGTTAGTTGATTTTATTGTCAGTGGACACCGTTCAGTCACCAATTGTATCTAGAAAAACTTGAAACTGACATATCTTATAAGTGCGTAATAGGCATACAAGAAAGTACATGTTGTACAGTGGGAAGCATGTTTCAAAGACAAGGGCAAGTTCTTAGGCTTCCATATTATTTGGATTTTACATTATCTTTTATGACTTTAGTTGTTCATGGTTACACATTGCATACTTTTATAGATTATTCTGAAGTTGAGAAAAGGAAAATAATTAACCTGAAAAAGTTATTATAGGGAGCGATTTAGTTTATAACAGGACAGACTAGAGCTTCAGAAGAGTTTATTATATGACAAGACTGACCTCTCGGTGGGAGTCAGCAGTCTGGATGTTCTGCATATCTCACAGCACAAACTCTTCTGTGGTATTGTCAGGTGATGCACCTCCTCATCATTCCTGGGTTGGTAATTCCTCTTTCTCTTTGCCACATTAGCTGTACTTTTCCTTTCCTCCCATCTTCTATTCATAATCCTCTTCTGAATAGAGAGCCTCTGGAAAGGAAGTTCTGGAGGTGGTCCTAGGGAGGAGGTTAGCAGCTACTGGGATGTCTTCGCTGCACACTTCTGTGGGTTGAGGATTTGCTAACAGCGGCTGAATGTGGTGACAAGCCCCACCACTCTGACTGATCTACGAGCTGGCATTGATTTTTAGCTTTTCTGTTGGGCTCCCCACTCCCCCAGCCCCCTGGAAGCCTTGCCTTTTCAGAGTTTCTTTCCTTAGTATTTGTTGTAAGCAGCAAGAGGAACTTCACATGCTCTTCAAATTTGCGGTTCTACTGGTTGGCTACGGTGATAAGTATTTTATCTTTTGGGGGGCTGGTGCTTCAATACATGATTGTACTCACTCAAGATTTTGCTAAAATAAAATTAGTAGTGTATCTGTGTCCCTGTCAAAGACCTCCTGAATGTTATGCTGCTTTATGGGTGCTATGCGTGTGAACCTAAATGTTGAAGGGAGAATGAAGTTTCTAGAAAATAGCATAACCATAAGGAAAATATTGATAACTTGAACTTCCAGGATTATAAAGGGGACTCTGGCCCTTGACATCTCTGCAGAGGGTTTGTAGGATGCCTAAAGATCTGCTTCTGCAGTGTTGTCAGTGTTTCTCTGGACTTTGCATCTCTCCTCGTTCTTTGCTTTTTCTTCAGTTTTCCTAGATAAGCAGTATCTTTCATAGTTATGTTAATATTCTTGTTTGCTAACTGCAGTACCTGGATAATCTTTGGGCCCACACAGTAGTCTTTCTTTGGGGGATTTTAGGGGTGTTGGAAGGGGTTATTTGGTCCCGTCTTCCCAGTATGCCTTGTAATTTTGGTTGCTTTCCCAATGTTGAGTTTGAAACATTAGGGAGCCCTAGGATGATGTTATTTAACTTTAGAGAGGATTTAATATTCTTTTTTTGCCAGGCAGAATATGTGCAGGTCACTGGTGGAGTTGACCAGGGTTTCAGGCTTTGTTAAGGTTGGTCTCTTTGTGTTTTTTCCCTCCCTGCTAGTCTGTAGACCCTTGGGGGTGTCTTCTGACGGACTGCTCGTTTACTAGGGCCCTCAGTGCCGGCCTCTGACTCCTGGCTGCACGACAGTGTCGATATTCCTCTATTCCGTAGCCAGTTTTAGCTGGTTTTTGTTTGTTTCCCTAGTTTTCTACCTCATATGTGTACATTTTAGGAGTTGGCAAACATCTTGGGGGGAAATAGGCAGATTTTGGAGCCTACCTTTCTATTTACTCCTTTTAAGGATCTTGGTCTCCCAAGCCTTGGATGCCTTGATAGTCCCCAGATCACAATCTGTGTCTTCTTAGCCTGGCTCAGTATTGTAGGCCTGGGGCTGCTGCGTGCTGGTTCACTTCTGTTCCACTCCACTGAGAATATTAAATGCCGTTCTGTTTTGTTTGTCTGTTTTTTGTGTACAAAGTAAGCAAATACATAATATCCTCACGAACTATATTCTTGTTTCCTCTTCTTTCTTACATAAAATGTAGTATCCTGCACGTATCCTTCTGTACCTTGCTGTTTTCGGTTAATGCACACTTGAATGTCCTATACTCACAAAGAGATCTTCCTTACTTTTTTTTGTATGATGGTATAACACTCCGTTGCTTAGATTTAGGATAGATAATTTATAATTGCATTTTTAGTGAGTAATTGGTAAACACATTCTTAATTCTGTGAATTCTAAAAATGACAGTGGAACTTCTTTGCCTTTTTTTTTTTAAGATTTTTTTTTTTGTCAGAGAGAGAGAGAGAAAGAGAGCGAGCGAGCGAGCACAGGCAGACAGAGTGGCAGGCAGAGGCAGAGGGAGAAGCAGGCTCCCTGCCGAGCAAGGAGCCCGATGTGGGACTCGATCCCAGGACGCTGGGATCGTGACCTGAGCCGAAGGCAGCTGCTTAACCAACTGAGCCACCCAGTCGTCCCCTTCTTTGCTTTTTTTAACAACAGTATTCTTTTCCTATGGAAAAAAATGTGATCTGTCATAAACTATTACCTTAGACTGAGAAAAGGAAGAAAACTCTATAACTTTTGGGATATTTAATTCATTAATTTATTTTTTACTAGTTCTTTTGTAGGTACATAGTTTCTAAGCTTTGCTCATAAAAGATCATTTGGCTTGCAAAACCCTAGACCTGTCAGAAATCAAATTTATGTTCAAGCCCGACTGAGAAAGAGAGACTTCCCCAAATTTTATTAGCTTGAGCTTAACTTCCTGGTTCTAAACACCGTAACCATCTGTATCAATGCAATACTGTTAATGAGAGAAGCAGCTTATTCTTATAACCTTTAATCTTCATCCTGAAAGAGCAGATCTTCTAAAAGAAGCCATATTCCTTGGTACCCTCTTAGCATGTGTCAGACCTCAGAAATTGTAGGTCCTAGATTTTTATGAACCAGAGAGGCAAAATATTGATATTATCTTAGCTAATCCTTCCCTGCAGGTGTTCCAAGGGGATCCAAGGTCTTAGAGGCGTGTTTGTTTCATAAAAATATTCTAGTAGGTGGATTTGTAAACCTTTCTGCACAGGGCCAGATAGTAATACTTCAGGCTCTACAGGCCACACGGTTCCTGGTGCAACTGTCAGCTCTGCTGTAGCAGAGTGGTAGCAGTCTTACTGTATATAAACACATGACAGTATTGAACTGAGTGAGGGTATGCGTGCCCGTGAAACTTTACTTACAAAAACAAGGCATTGGCTTAGTGGGCCATAGTTTTCCAGACTCTGTTCTAACTCCTTTAACTGGGGAGGAAATAAGTAAGTCATTTCAAAGCCTTCCTTTCTAGAAGAGACTAGAATAGATTTGAAGTTTTCCGATTTATTTTCAACATTTAAAATAATTGACACTTTTGTATAATTCTTAATCACAGAAGAGACATTGCCTTGTCTACATTCTTCAAAATGATATTTATTGCAAAGAAGTTGATAGAAAATAGTGAATATTGGGAATATTTAATTGAAGATTTAACTTCAAAAGCCAAACTTATTTTTCTTTCTTCCTTCGTTGTACAGAAGGAATTTTTATTATGAGAGAAGAAGCAGTGTTTTTATTTTCTTCTGTTTTCTGTTTGCTTGTTTAGATGAATGATACAACCATGAGTATTGTGTGCTTTATTTATATATTAATCAAATCAACAAGTTGGAGAGAATGATCCTAAGAAAAGTTTAATAAGTTAGCTTGATGTCCCAGTTTTAGAAGGCAAATTCTAAAATGAATAATCCTAGAATTTAGCTGTGGCAACATTCAGGGTTACATACATTTCACCCTTATAGCCTAATAGCCACATAAAATTTTTACATTAATTTATTAGGAATTTAAAATTTAACCATTTTTCTTCCTACCCCTCTCTAAGCCTTGCAAATTTTAACTGCAATTAACTAAATTAATTCTGACCAAGAGCAACAAAATTGAGAGTGGTAAGAAGCGTGTATGTTACAGCTAGCTTTCAAACCTTATGACATACATACAGATTTTTAGTTTTTTCTCCTCTCTGGAGTATACAGAAAGGGAGAATCATTTTTTTGTAGGACATTGCACCCTCTTAATAGGTGACGTTCTGTTATCTTTTGTCACAACATGTCCTTGTTTTTAAATAAGAGTTCTCAGAATAATGTTTAAAATTAGTACTTTTAAGCTTATTTAAACATTTTTGGCTTTGTGCTAATAATATTTTCCTTTCTTATTCAACTCAGTGAAAAAGAGAACAGAATTAACTTTATGATCTGTACACTGCAAGATCAAAATTGATGTCATTTATCTCCAGATATTTATTTTGTCTTCATGCCTGAAGAATGGATATATACCAGTAACTCAAAAGTTATAGTAATTCATGTGATTCACATCAGAATTCCTCTTCTGAATTAGTATTGTTTTCAGTCTTAATGTCTTGGGTTTACTTATCTGATACTTAAATAAAATGTTAAGTAAAATGTTATGTAAGTTTTAAAGTGTATTGTTTTATAGTTTTGAAACAGATGACAAGTTCTGTAGGTCAAAACTTTGGAGATCATATTTTTTAAAACTAAAGATGACTTCCAGCCTTATGATGTGAGTTAAATTACAAAGTGTTTTCATTTCTTCAAGTTTTTTAATTGTGTAGTACTTAAAAATATTTATTAGGCTTTTGCCAAGTTAAAAACAAAGTATATGTTCATTTGCAGGTGTGCTAATTTTAAGGTTAGATTCTTTGTTAACCATTTTGGCTTCTTTTGATAATGAGAATAATTGGAATTAACCATTGTTGGGGGGGTTTACATATATTTGACAGAACTAGAAGAACAGACTCGAAAAGCTCTGGAACTGGACCAGGAACGAAAACGAGCAAAGGAAGAAGCAGAAAGACTTGAAAAGGAGCGTCGAGCTGCTGAAGAAGCCAAGTCCGCTATTGCAAAACAAGCTGCTGACCAGATGAAGAACCAGGAGCAGCTGGTCAGGAACCTGTCTTGGTTCGATCTCAGAGAGAAAGAAAAATTTAGACAAAAGCGTGAAGCAAAGCTTGTAAAACGCAGTATATTAGATCTTCTGGAAAGTAAACCAAAGATACAAGTAACCTAATCACAAAGTGTGGAAATAAACCTAAAAATTTTATTTCTGCATGGGAAAAAAAACCCAAGAAACCTAAAGATAAAACAATGAGATGTCAGTGGAGTCTGTTGCTAACAAAAGATTTCTGATTCACTTCAACTTTGCATAAGCCATTAGTGGGTTTTACTTTAGATAAATTGACAGTATGTTCTGATACCTTCTTAGAAGATCACTATAGGCCATAATTTATTGGGTGTGTGTTTGTGTAGCGGACTGCAGGTGTTGAGTAGGCGTGACATTTAAAAGATCCTGGAATTAAATATTGGTTCAAACATTAACTTGATATGTGTCCTTGGGTCTTTCTGAGCTCCAGATCGTTCCCTTTGAAAAAAGGAATAAAGGCACCAAATAGGATTGTTGGGGAACCTAATGAGCTTATTTGGCCACTTACTCTTTAAGTTATAATGCCTCATATAAAATGCAGTTTTTCTCTTTTGTAGGGTTTAGCAAGTACTTTATTGATCAGAGTTCAAATGTGCAATTTAGGTGCTATTTTTAAAGTTCCTGCTACTGAAACAGGAAGAACTGCTTATCTATAGAATAATAAAACTGCTTTCACTGTCTTCTTACTAGTGGATTAGACCTGCTATAAATAAGATGCTTATGATCTTAAATACTAACTTTTTTAAAAATGAAAGACTAAGAGAATCATAGAAAGTCTAAGCATGTAGACTTTAAAGCTTTAAAGACAGAATATTTTTGGAAAAAAATTTTTATTATTGGTAATTATGTTCTTTATTTTAGGCAGCAGAACTTGCTGAATTCACTGCCAAGATTGCACTTCTGGAAGAGGCCAAGAAGAAAAAGGAAGAGGAAGCTACTGAGTGGCAACACAAGGTGATCATTTGTTTTCCACTCAGTATCATTTATTAAATATCTATTTTTGTACCCAGCAGTCTGCTGAGTTTGTAGAGGTGTATAAGATACCGTCACAATTTAGAGGGAAAAGATTCGTGTGTGTACGAATTGTGTGTGTGTGTTGTCATAATTACTAATCTGTTGATGCAAGCTAAGAACAGAAGAGGTGATTAATTTCTGTGGGAATGAAGCAGGTGTTGGGGAGACTCTTGTAAGTTTTAAGCGGGATCTTAAATAATAAAGTCAGTTAGCGGGTAGAAAACATTGAGAGTGGTTAGAGACTACAAAGGTCGTCATTCCAGACAGGGAACTGAATGAGTATAAGAAGTTTGGAAGTACATGGCAGACTTGAAGGACAACCAGTAAGTAAGCAAAGCTTTAGGGTATAGGCTCAGGAATCTTGAGAGATGTGGCTGGGAAGTTACAGAGGAAATTAAGCTGTGAAGGGCTTTAAATAAATTGCAAGATGATAGGGAGTGTCTGTAGACATTGGACTTTTAAGATTTTGAAACAGGATTGTAGTATGATCAAGTATGGCTATATAAAAATAACTTAAAGTAGAGGATGGATTGGTATAATGGGTAGGTTTACCTAAGAATGAAGAGGAACAGGGATCATTGAGAAACATCTTGTGGTAGACTCAGCAGGGCATGGCAACCAAATAATGGATATGAAGAAGTCGAATTAGAGGGATGCAATGAAGATGGTACATACTGAGTTTTTAAAAAAGATTTTATTTATTTGTTAGAATGTGAGCGGAAGAGCGAGCACAAGTCTGGAGGGAGGGCAAAAGGTGGGGGGGGGACAAGCAGACTCCCTGCTGTGCAGGGAGCCCAACATGGGACTCGACCCCAGGACCTTGGGATCTTGACTTGAACCGAAGGCCGATGCTTAACCAGCGGAGGCACCTCGGCGTCCCCTCGGCGTCCCATACTGAGATTTCTAATGTAAGTTCCTTAGTAGATGAAGCCACTACTGTCTGAAATAGTACACAAGTGAAAAATCAGAATTTAATTCAAACTTTAAATGTTAACTCTTCAATGCAACTAAAATAATTTTTAACACCCGAAGGTGTATAGTTCTATGACTTTTTTGCAATGAATGAATAGTTTTCTTTCCCTCTTAAATTTTCTTTGTAGCAATTTAAATTTCATAGGGAAATTTTGATATTGAGAATTATGTATATGTGTGTATATATAACTCTCAAAGCAATAGAACTTGGTTAAGCCATCGGACCACTTTCTTTATTAGAATTTCTGAGACACATAAGCTTTTTTAGAAGTAATACCAGGGAGGCAAATCCTGTGAATTATAGAAATGAGGAAGTGACACGAGAAAAATCACATTCCCACAAGCCAGGATCACTATTTTAACACCTTAGTACAGATCCTTCTAGGATCTTTTCCTGTTTGCATGTGTATATACATACACATTTATGTGTTCAGAATGAGGTCATACTGTACATAAGCTCCCATTTTAGTCAACTTTTCATCTCGTCTGTATTAGACTATATTCATTAAATTTTAAAATTCAGATATAATTGATGTATAACCTGTTAATTTCAGGTATATGACTTTGTTGTTTGATACTTCTATATATTGTGAAATGAGTTAACACCCATCACAAGAAAATTTTTTTCTTGTCATGAAAACTTTTAAGATTTACTCTATTAGCAACTTGCAACTTTTGAATATACAATACAGTATTATTAACTGTAGTCTCCATGCTATTTGTATATTACAGCCCCATGACTTATTTATCTTATAGCTGGGAGTTTGTACTTTTTTTTTTTTTTAATAAGATTTTATTTATTTGAGAGAGCAAGCATGATTTGAGGGATGGGGCAGAGGGAGAGGGAGAAAATCTCTAGCAGACTCCCCATTGAGCACAGAGCCTGATGTGGGGCTTGATCCCAGGACCCAGAGATCATGACTTGAGCCAAAATCAGATGCTTAACCAACTGAGCCACCCAGGCACCCTGGGAGTTGGTATTTTTTAAACACTTCTCCCATTTGCTCACTCCCCACCCTCCCTGCCACCTCTCACTTCTGGTAACCAGGACTTTGTTCTCTGTATCCATGAGCTCTGTTTGATTTTTTTACATTTACATATAATTGAGATCATATGGTATTTGTCTTTGATTTATTTCACTTTGCATAGTGGCCTCAAGTTCCATCAGTTCAGACACAGATAGCAAGATTTTCTTTTTTATGGCTAAATAGTATTCATGTGTGTGTATATAGCACTTTTCTTTACCTATTCATCCGTCAGTGGATCCTTAGGTTGCTTCATATCTTGGCTGTTATAAGTAAGGCTGCAGTGAACATGACGGTATATATCTTTTTGAGTTAGGGTTTTCATGGTGGGGGATAAATACTTAGAAGGGGAACTGTTAGATCATAATGGTATTTCCATTTTTAATTTTTTGAAGAACCTCTGTAGCGTGTGGCATAATGGCTGCACGAATTTACGTACTCAGTAATGCTGTGCACAGGCTCCCTTTTCTGCATATGTTCGACAACACTTGCTATTTCTTATCTTTTGGATAATAGCCATTTTGAGTGGTGTGAGGTGGTAGCTCATTATGGTTTTTATTTGCATTTCTGTGTTGATTAGTGATGTTGAGCACCTGTTTCATGTGCCTGTTGGCCATCTGTATGTCTTCTATGGAAAAATACCCATTCAGATCCCCTTGCCATTTTTTAATCAGATTGTTTTTTAACTGTTGTATGAGTTCCTTATAATTTGGGTATATGATTTGTAAATATTTTCTCCCATTCAGCAGGTTGACTTTTCATTTTCTTTTTCATGGTTTCCTTTGCTGTGCAGAAACTTTATAGTTTGATGTAGTCCCACTTGCATATTTTTGCTTTTTAATTTACTTTTGGTGTCAGATCCAACAAATCATTGCCAAGACCAATGTCAAGGAGCTTGCTCTGTGTTTTCTTTTAAGAGTCTTATGGTTTTAGGTCTTATGTTCAAATCTGTGATTATTTTGGGTTGATAATTTTGTATGGTGTAAGATAGTGGTCTAGTGTCATTCTTTTGCATGTGGCTGTCCAGTTTTCCCAACACAGTTACTGAAGGGACTGTCCTTGCCCTTGTTGCATATTCTTGGCTGCTTCGTTGTAAATTAAATATGTTTGTGTGGGTTTATTCTTGGGCAGACTGCATTCAAAATTGATCCAAAATCTTCTATAGCTGATTTGCCAGGCCAGTGTCCAAATTAGGACTTTGCATTGTGTGTGTTTGCTTGGAGGACAGGCCTTTTTGTGATACTGAGTTATTGGAAGGACCTGCAGATTGTCCCTTCTTTTTTTGTCTAGTTGTTTCCTCATGGTGTTATTCAGCTTGTCGTTTTATCAGTATTTCCTGTAAATTGGAAAATGACCTTAAAACATGAAGGATTCAAGTTAAAAAGTTTTTGGCTATGGTGCCTCTTAGGTGAGACCACCATATAATTTATCATCCAAATTAGAATGTATTTTAGAGTAAAAGGTGTTATTATTAATAATTATACAGTGACAGCAGTGTAAAGCCGGACTTTTTAATTTATTTATTTATTTATTTAAAAGATTTTATTTATTTATTTGACAGAGGGAGATCACAAGTAGACAGAGAAGCAGGCAGAGAGAGAGAGGGAAGCAGGCTCCAGGGAGCCCGATGTGGGACTTGATCCCAGGACCCTGAGATCATGACCTGAGCCGAAGGCAGCGGCTTAACCCACTGAGCCACCCAGGCGCCCCAAGCCGGACTTTTTTAGACAGAACAACACAGTATACCACCCAAACAGTTGGTGATGTTGGATACTTCCTATTGCATCATCTCAGAAGAACACTTAGTATCTGGTTAACCTACCGTGAGTGATTTTAATTGATCACTGGATTAGAGTAATGGTGGTCTGATTTCTCCATTTACAGTGACATGCTTCCCCTTGTGGCTAAAATGTGATCCCTTAGACATGGCATTCTTTGGCGTTTTACTAATACCATTTCTCATCAGCCATTTGTGTAACAGTTTTTGCAACATTTGATCATTCTTGCCAGAATTAACAATTTTATTAGGTTTTGCAAAGTGATATACTTTAATTCTCTCACTCCTCCTTGCTGGCATTCCTCTATAAAAACAGAGCTTTCATCAGTAAGGCTTATTTTCAATACCCTGAAATATATTTCTTTTAGGAAGGAAGGATAACTTGATTTTTTTAATAACCAGTTTTCAAAAGGAAGTTGCTGATAAACTTATTTTTAATGTTCAGGCTTTTGCAGCCCAGGAAGATTTGGAAAAGACCAAAGAAGAACTAAAAACTGTGATGTCTGCCCCCCCTCCACCACCACCACCCCCAGTCGTTCCTCCAACAGAAAATGAGCATGATGAGCATGATGAGAATAATGCCGAAGCTAGTGCTGAATTATCAAATGATGGAGTGATGAACCATCGGAGTGAAGAGGAACGTGTAACAGAAACTCAAAAAAATGAGCGTGTTAAGAAGCAACTCCAGGTATTTAAAATTTGCAGTTGTCTGCACATTTATAATACGGGTAGCATTTACCCTGTTTATTGAGATAAACTTATTAAATAGGACCATTTTATTTTTTTAAAGTTTTATATATATATTTTTTATCATGTTCAATTAGCCAACATATAATATCTCATTATTTTTTGATACAGTGTTCAGCAATTCATTAATTGCTTATAACACCCAGTGCTCATCACCACACATCCCCTCCTTAATACCCATTACCCAGTTACCCCATCCCTCTCCCCACTCCCTTCTGTAACCTTCAGTTTGTTTCCCGGAGTCCAGAATCTCTCATGGTTTTTCTCCCTCTCTGATTTCTTCCCATTCAGTTTTCCCTCTCTTCTCCTGTGGCCCTCCACACTATTCCTTATGTTCCACATATGAGTGAAACCCTATGATAATTGACTCTCTCTGCTTGACTTATTTCACTCAGCATAATCCCCTCCAATTCCATCCATGTTGATGCCAGTGGTGGGTATTCATCCTTTCTAATGGCTGAGTAATATTCCATTGTATATATGGACCATGTCATCTTTATCCATTCATCTTTTGAGGGGCATCTCGGCTCTTTCTGTGATTTGACAGTTGTGGACATTGCTGCTATGAACATTGGGGTGCATGTGCCCCTTTTTTTTCATTACTTTTGTATCTTTGGAGTAAATACCCAGGAGTGCAATTGCTGCATCATAGGGTAGCTCTATTTTTTTTTTTTAAGATTTTATTTATTTATTTGACAGACAGAGATCACAAGTAGACAGAGAGGCAGGCAGAGAGAGGAGGGGAAGCAGGCTCCCTGCTGAGCAGAGAGCCCCATGTGGGGCTCAATCCCAGGATCCTGAGATCATGACCTGAGCCAAAGGCAGAGGCTTTAACCCACTCAGCCACCCAGGTGCCCCGGGTAGCTCTATTTTTAACATCTTGGGGAACCTCCATACTGTTTTCCAGAGTAGCTGTTCCAGCTTGCATTCCCACCAACAGTGTAAGAGGGTTCCCCTTTCTCCATTCCCTTGCCAACATTTGTCATTTCCTGTGTTGTTAATTTTAGCCTTTCTGACTGATATAAGGTGGTATCTCATCGTGGTTTTGATTTGTATTTCCCTGATGGCCAGTGATGTTGAACATTTTTTTATGTGCCTGTTGGCCATTTGTATGTCTTCTTTGGAGAAGTGTCTCTTCATGTCTTCTGCCCATTTATTGACAGATTATTTGTTTTTTGGGTGTTGAGTTTGGGAAGTTCTTTACAGAAGAACATTTGATTTTTTTTTTTTTAAGCCTTTACCACTAGCTGGCCTTGTGGTTGGTTTGTGAGTGGTTGGCCTACAGTTACCTTGTTTCATTTCTTCCACTGTAGCAAATGTTTGTTAGCCTTGGGTGATTAACCCTTAACCGGTAAGTTATTCTTTTAATTACAGCTTGACTCAATGTTAAAAGGTAGGAAGTATTTTAATGCTGTCTTTTTTTTTTTTTTTTTAAGATTTTATTTATTTGACAGAGAGAGATCACAAGCAGGCAGAGAGAGAGGGGAAACAGGCTCCCTGCTGAGCAGAGAGCCCAATGTGGGGCTCGATCCCAGGACTCTGAGATCATGACCTGAGCTGAAGGCAGGGAACCAACCACTGAGCCACCCAGGCACCCCTTAATGCTAATTTTAAAAGACAAATAAATTTAGTTTTTAACCAGTGAAGTCTACATTAAAAACATATATAATAGACTACCTGTATGACATTACATAATCTGAATTATTTGTTCACATTTTGTAATGGCAAAAGATCAGTTTATTAAAAGCACATAATTAAACCAAAATAGGAAATTTTAACTTTATTAGACCTTTTTTCCATATAAGTTCTCTAATTTTTTAATTGGTGAAATCTTTAAATATTAATAAAAAGTGATGGGAGATTTTTTTTTTTTTTTTTTTTTTTTTTTTTTTAGATTTTATTTATTTGTCAGAGAGAGAGGGAGAGAGAGCGAGCACAGGCAGACAGAATGGCAGGCAGAGGCAGAGGGAGAAGCAGGCTCCCTGCAGAGCAAGGAGCCCGATGTGGGACTCGATCCCAGGACGCTGGGATCATGACCTGAGCCGAAGGCAGCTGCTTAACCAACTGAGCCACCCAGGCGTCCGTGATGGGAGATTTTTAATAAATAAAGACTTTGGAGAAAGTTTCTCTCATGGCATAGATTTCAGATCTTAAAATAGCATTCTGTAATATCTCCATTGAACTTGTTTTTTTAAGTTATTTCAAGTATTGTATGAGAAAGTTAAGGAAATGTAGAATAGTACACAAAATCATCATGGTTGATGAGCGGAGAAATGACATGCAAGGAGGGTACTCTTCCCTCACCTCTACCTCTGCTGTGACTACAAGCAAAACAGAGTTTTGCTTTAAAGATGTGACAGTGGGAATTTGACTATGGGAAAATGTAAGATACGTGATTTGTGTATTTTTGTCTTTAAAACTTTTTCATAATCTTTCTAAAACCTACCAAAAAAAAAAAATAGTCATTTTTTTCTTTCTTACTTATAGGCACTAAGTTCAGAATTGGCCCAAGCTAGGGATGAAACCAAGAAAACACAAAATGATGTTCTTCACGCTGAGAATGTTAAAGCCGGCCGCGATAAGTACAAGACTCTGCGGCAGATTCGACAAGGCAACACCAAGCAGCGGATTGATGAGTTTGAAGCCATGTGAGAGCTGTTATTTTGCATACGTGTTCTTCATAAGCTGAACCACCAACAGAGAAAAGCAGGCCTTTGCAGATGTGATGGAACGCATCCCACCTTGCCAAAGCACTTACACCAGTTGACTGTGGTGGCTAAAGACATACTTGAGGGGAGCTCTTCAGCATTAAGGCAGTGTAATGTCATGCTTGATTTTCTTTTCCTTTTGGCCCAGGGAGTGAAGGACAGCGTTCCATCGCCTCCTGTCACATTTTCAGTTTCCATTGTTTTTTTTTTTTTTCTGTTGGAGATTAACACTAAGGATCATGTCTGACAAATGTGTATGCGTGATTTCAGCACTTTGTACAGTTCAAAGGATGATGGTGACTTAATGAGTGTTTAGCTGGAGCACTCTGTTTTCTTTTGCCCCTTCCATATTTTGCCTGTGTGTATTTCCACATTCTGTCTCACTCATATCCTCAGCGTGCCCTTCTCCTTGCTGTGCCGATAGCCATAATTCTGCCATTATACAGGTCATCGGCATGGTTAAAATGAGGATAAGCGACAGGGTAGACAGTCTTTGATAATTATGTAGAAGACAGCTGTGAATCATGAAAAGGATTAGAATGTTTAATAGTGTAGGATGCAGCTGGTGGTTAATGTTTTAAGTCCCAGTTATATTATTGGATATTTGATATTTGCCTGCTTAATTACAGTCATCTTCGACAGCCGAATTGATTGGTGTTTCATCTCCTTTCATCTTTTGGTTTTCTTTGCTTACTGTTCACAAAGGTGTAGACAGCAGGTAGTAGTTCCCTGGGAGAATTTATTGATTAAACACTACCTGCAAATAATAATTGTCGATTAAGACGTCTGTTCTATCATATACGGATTTAGACAAACAGGTGTTTAAAAAAATCATTTGTTGGTAATTTATTGTAATCATTAAAAAAAAACAAAAACCCTGGACCTTTCTGGAAGGGCAGCACATGAAAACATCAGTTCCAAGGAGGGGACAGTAATACTACCTCACTCCTACACCTGTGGTGATTCTTTGTTCCAACCCAGTGGAGTGTGTAAGCTCTGTGTTCTAAAATACATACCAGTACTTTCAATCATGCAAGGAGTATTTCTGAGATTTTCCTTCAGAATATCTTAGAGTGCTAAATTTTTAACTGCCTTTTTGTTGAGCTTAATTGCAGGACCAGCTCTCTTGGAGGGATGTTGTATGTCCAAGGAAGAAGAGAGAGTGAATGAGTGTGTGTGTGTGTGTGTGTGTGTGTGTGTGTGTGTGAGAGAGAGAGAGAGAGAGAGCGAGCGAGAATTTGCCCTTGTAGCATATGAATGTCTGTACCTTCATTTCTTGATATAATTGTTACATAATCATTTCAGCAGATTTGGTTTCTAAATCATTGTGCTTATTTTTTTCATTCTCTAGCTAAAAATACGTAAATTTGGTTTGTTAATCCTACTTTAGAAATTTTAGTTTATATTGAGTTCAGTTATGTCTTAAGAAATCTTTCCATTTGAAAGATGTTCTAATATTCACATGTTCTGGTATTTTCTTTATTGTAAAACATCTAGACTTGGAGATAAGGAAAGCCTTGTTTTCTCTGTGTGGTTCAGCTACTTTTCATTTGGTATTATGCACTCAAATTTACATATAACTATTAAAATTGCCATTTTGTTAAGCATTTTTCATGCACAGTAGATACAAGTTGTGTCTGAAAATATCTCTTGTGCTTTTTTGATTTTGCTGACTATAAAAGGATTAATCTGGGCAGACATATGAAAAGGAAAGGCTTCACTTAATATATTTTTTTTGGACTTTGTAGGACAAAAGATAACTGGTTAATAACCTTGAAGTGACTGTTGTATGGTAGTTGTGCACATGCTTCAAAACACTGCAGAAGAAAATATTTCTCCTTGCAGCACATTAGAGGAATAGACGGTGAACTCTGCTCTTCATGCTTTAAAGCATAAGTGTTCACTGTTCCAAAGCATCAGGGCCATTGCCATAATAAGTGGAAACTTGGACTTCCATTGGATTTTTATTAATTTTCTACATTTTGAATTGTGTGCACTACCATTGCTACATCAGTTTGATATCAGTGTTGGAAAACTACCAGTTATATTTGCTGTTTATAATCTATTTGTAGATTAGGATTAAAATGGATTTAATCCATTTTTAAAGCTGTGTGAATTTTTCTAAACAGGAACAACTATTTGCAATATGGTTTTCATAGTGATTAAACCAGTTATAACTCTTATTAGCAGTTGAGAGCACATGTTCATATAGCAATGTAAAATATATTAATGAGTATTTGGTAAATTCCAACAGACTTCTACCATTAGCATAATTTTGTGTTGTACAATTAAGTTACAATTACATCTATAATTTTGGATAACATTCATTGGTTAACAATAAAGTGACAAAAGCTCATGGCTTCAAGGTCCACTGTTGTTATTTAACATGGATTTTTTTTATATTTCTCAAAATTAGATTCTCTATAAGACCCATGAATCATCACATCTTAAAAGTGAGAAAGGGATAGGGAAAAATTGCAAAATCCTCATAGATTTATCTTCCGCCAAATTACACCTCTTTTGGTATGGAAGTAATAGTGATTGTTAATTTTGTGAAAAATTAAATTGTTAAATCTCTTGGTAACAGAAATCATTTAGGATTTCCAGTCATTGCTTTAATTATATATTGTTTATAGTTTCTTTTTCCTAAAGAAGATATAGTTTCATTGTCACTGATTAATCTTGCTATTAAAATACGAATGTTCTTTAAAGAACTATATACCAAGTGCATTTATTTAAATACATATTTTTATTTTTAAGTGACATTACAGCACAGTTACCATAAATCTAGAAAGTTATTGTCTTTTTTAAAAGCTTCTTCCTGATTTTTAACATAAAGATTATTCTTCTTAAGTCATAAATCTGTTCTAAAAGGAAAAGCTGGGAGTCTGCTCAGTTTATAGTAAACTGAACTTTTAATTGTCTTAACTGTCACTTGATTATTTTTTTCTCAAAGTCAGGTAGTGATTTCTTTATTCCAATCTTTGCAGAAAAGAAAGGGGAATTTTATAGGATTGCTTTATATCTACAGTTTTTCTTTAAGAACTACAATTACCACTTACAAAGTTGTCTTAGACTGTATTAGAACTCTCATTCCTAGTGATCATTAGAGAAGAATTTCAGTATTAGTGTTAGGATTAAAAATAAAAAATGTCCCTAGTTTCTGTCTCAATTTTTGTTACTTTGTTGATTAGTGACATTTGTAGAAATGAAAGTAAAAATTTTTTAGATTCAAAACCATCCCATTCTATGTATGCATGAGAAAAACAATAGGTTTTTTTTAAATCTAAAGCTGTAAACTGTTAAGTTTTAAGTTAAGGAATTCTAGCCTTTATCATTAATTTGCTGAACTGATTAATAAACCAAAATTTAGATATCCTTAAGGATAAGGGAAATCATTTTAATAGGGAGCTAGCTATACTGGTAGATACCTTTTTTTTCTTTTTTTTTTTTTTTTGGACCCCTTCCCAAGTTTTTTAGATGAGCAGAACTCAAGCATTTTCTTTTTCTGCACTTCATTTTTGTAATTAGAAGATAATCTATCAAATACACTATTGTGGTTTCTTATGTAAAAGGGCAACATTCTAGTACATTTCAAAAGTTCAGTGGATTCTGCAGATGTTCCAATAACTTCATAAAATGTCAAGGCAATCCTCACATTCAACATTGGTGGTGAGGAGACCTTGGCTCATATAGTATTTCACATATTAAAGTATTTCCCATATTCCACATATTAAAGCTTATCACATTCTCATCCTTGACTTTTCTTTTTCTAAGAAAAATCTTAACTCCCATTTTTTCCTAGTGGACCTACCTCTTAATACATCCATCTTTCAAGATTTTAAGAGCTGCCATTTTCCTTCCAGAAAGATCCTGACTCCTTGCTTTGTTGCCTCAGTATTTTGACTTCCCTTAAACTCTGTGATACAAGAGTTACCTGATTTCAGATTACATATATTGCTTTAGGAGTTGGAGTAGCCATCATTTAACGACAGAATTTTAAGGTAAAAAGTCATGACTGAGATAATTACCCAATGGCACGTCTTTTAAATTCAGGTTTATGTTTGGCTCTGGACTTTCCCAGATTCTAATTTAAAGACCTTAATTTAGCTGTTTCATTTTTATACGCTATACTCTAGATGTGGCAGCAAGATTAGAATGATGGTGACTGTTTTGGACTGTCTTACAATGTGAAAGTTTCAATACTAATTTCTCTTACCTCTTAGATCATTTGCATTAATCTGATAAAATACTAGATTTCTCTTAAGATGGCACATCACTTTGTTGATTCATGTTGTTTGTATGCCCAGATTCCTCCGTGCTTATATGAAGTCAGTTGCTTCCATCCATGTAATTTATTATTTTTATTACTTGGTTTCAGTTGTTCGCTTTTATTTAATGATCATTTTAAAAAATTAAGATTCACTTTGATATTGATGCATGTCATTTAGTTTACTCCTAAAAGTAGTTATACTGGTTTTCAGTACTGTTGACCGAATCTAAAGAGCCAATGTCTGTCTTCCTACTGATAATACAGCATCAGAATCTCTGAGATTTAGGTGATGGTCCTTGGAAAAATTTCTTTTGATAAAATGTGGATTTATTATGTGGAATTCTTTGTTGTGTTACAACATATGCTATGATAACCCTTTTAATTTTTTTTTCAAGTTAAAATGTCTTAACTTATGTGTTAGACCTAGAAATGCATGTGTATTTTAGACTTAGAAGGCAATACCTCCTCCCTCCCTTTCTTTTGGTTTAAACTGAAAAGTCTGTGTAATTCAAGTCTAGCACTGGAATCCTGTACTATCACTCCATTTATGTCATTGTTTACTTTAAAATTTTAGCTGTTTTGGATAAAAGATACAGTTGTATGATGAAAGAAACTATAGCATAAAGAAGGTCAGTAGAAGAAATTAATAAGGGTGAGAATAAGAATGCAGAGTCAAGTTTTTCAAGTTTGCTTATTCTCTGATAAGTTACTTAATTTTTATTGCATAGGTCGAATTTTAAACACCGTATTTAAAGATATCTTTTAAAAAGTACCTAATTGCAAAAGTTTTTCTTTGTAGTAAAACTCATTTTATATCCTACTGACAAACCAGTCAAGCATAGTAATTCTTAATATTTGTGTTAAATGTTGAGAATTTCATGGAGTCAGTTTTCAGTTGAATCTTCATTTTTTTAGTTGTTAAAATATATATAACATAAAATTTACCATTTTAGCTGTTTTCAAGTATGTACTGTTCAGTGACATTAACTACATTCATGTTATACAGCTGTCGCCAGCTGTTCATCTCCAGAACTTTTTCATCATGCCAAACAATCTGTACACTCCAAACACTCATTCCATCCCTCCATCTTCCTAGTCCCTGGTTACTGCCACTTCGTACTTTCTGTCCTCTGAATGTGACTGCTTTAGTTACTCACAACGTTTGTCCTTTTGTGTCTGACGTCCTTCACTTAGCATAACGTTTTCAGGGTTAATCCATGTTACATGTATCAGAATTTCACTCTTTCCGAAGGCTGGTTAATATCCCAGTGTGTGTGTGTGTGTGTGTGTGTGTGTGTGTGTGTGTATGCCACGTTTTTTAAAAAATCTATCAGTCAGTGGACATTTAGATTGTGTCCACATTTAACTTGTGAA